GAGTCTAACAGGGTGTGTAAGGAGTTTGTGTGTGTGTCTGCAGGGTGTATTGAGGGGTGTGAGTCTAACAGAGTGTGTAAGGAGTGTGTGTGTGTCTATAGGGTGTGTTGAAGGGTGTGTAAGGAGTGTGTGGACCCTGTGAGTGTCCACAGGGCACGTGAGAAGTGTTTGTGTGAACAGTGACGCAGAGATAATCGCTCAGGTGCTACAGTGTTGTCTGTGTGAGGTCACTGAGCAGATGGACTCTCACAGATTAGCTCTATAAGAGTCCAGAGCTGTATATGAAAGAGACTGGACTGAGGCAAATTCTCCGATTCTGTAGCTATATTCCTGAGAAAAATGGACTAACAGACCTTTACCAGAATTGCGCCCACAGCAACTACAGCTTCTGACTTGCTTAGCTCCTTTATTACCTTGTCTGCTGTTTGGGAAGATTTGGAAGGATGACTATACTGAAATCCTTTCGGTGAGTTTTGATCTGGTGAAAGAAGAGAAGATTGGTTTGGGTTGAATGTAGACTGTCGCCTGTGTAAAGTCTGGTCTGTATCACTCATCTGTGTCAGGTAAAGGAAGTAGATGAACTCTGTATCCAGACAGTGCCAGTGTTAGGAGAGTGTTTTTCCTGATTTGGTGTTACAGAAGTGATTCTGAAGTGCCATTGTCTGAGTACTCCTTCCTATCTCATCTTTTGTTAAGAACCCCTCTCATGTGAATTAAATCATGTCTTAATTCAATGATGGTTGCTACAGGAGAATGTATTTGTATCTACAGTGTTGGAAAAACCTAATTTTATCAAATAATCTGTTACAGTTACAAGTTACTGGTGTAAAGGGTTACTTTTATAACAGTTCAGTTCAGTTACATGTGACTGGTATAAGTGAATACGAGGTTAAATAAACAAGTTAGGTGAAATTGCATGTAAGAGGATATGTATTATTTTACGTCATCATCTTCCACAGTTGTCTATATAGTGTATGAGAGGTTCTTTTTACAGGAGACAATACACCAATGAGGAAATTTTACAAGTGTTGTGCACATTTGTGAATGCTGACTTGACAAGCCCTCTGGTTTTAACACCTTGCCACTAATCTAATGGGTTTTCTTTTTAGCCTCTGAACTCTTGAAAATTGTCAGTCCTGGGAATTAGGAAGTGCTAAAACCTACGTTTTTCTGTTCCAGGGTTCCCACTGTTCCAGTGAAGAATCTCAATGGCTCCAGTCCAGTTCACCCAGCACTGGCAGGTAAGAGAGGGATTAATACACTACAGTACATTAACACTACGCTGAGATAGAGGGGTT